AGCTTTTCATTGTCATTCTTGAGCTTGACAAACTCATCATAATCATCGGCCTCAACCACTTGCTTGCCCTTGCTACTAGAACTTTGCTCAAAGCTCTCAATGATCAAATTATCACATGATGTAGCTATATCAATCTTAATAATATTGTTAGTAGCATCATGTGGCTCATTGGATAAATATTCTTGAGCAATGACAAGACTATCATGATTAATCTTAAGAGTGGTATATTCTTTTTTTAGCATGTTGTGGCTAGTGATGAGCTCATTGTGTATCCTCTCAAGTTTATCATGTTTATCTTTAAGCTTTTTCTTAGAAGATTTGAGTTCCTTGAGTTTGGATGATATAGCATCATTTGCTTCTCTAAGCTCAACACTAGCCTTTTTTGCTATATCATATTTTGCTAAAAGAGAGTCATTTTTTGCTTCTAGTTTTTTAACTCATCGCCTTGTGGGTGTGTGGCATCCCGAGATTTTGAGAAACCTTGTGAGGCGGCTCTAAGAATTCCAACATCTAGAGCTTCTAAATATGCCTCCATACGGATTTTCCAATATGGAAAATCATCCCCCTCAAAGATAGGAGGAGGACCATCCCCGTGAGACATCTTTCTCTAGGCGGTTAAGCCTAAATACGTGAGCACGAGGCTCCAATACCAATTGAAAGGATCAAGATGCCTAAGAGGGGGGTGAATTGGGTTAATTCTAAATTTTTTCGCAATAATAAAACCCTACGGTTAGCCCAATTAACCCCTTGTGCCTAGAAAGTGTTTCTATTGATCTATCGCACAAAAGTTTAGCAACCTACGTTCCAATCCTACTCTAGCACGACAATTTTATGAATGTAAATGACAAGAATTGAATTGCTCAAAATAAATGTTCAAAGTAAAGAGAGAAGGAGGAACGCGGCGATGTTTTGCCAAGGTATCGGAGAGTCGCCACTCCCCACTAGTCCTTGTTGGAGCACCCGCGCAAGGGTGTAGCTCCCCCTTGATCTGCGCAAGGATCAAGTGCTCTCTACGGGTTGATTCTTCAACACTCCGTCACGGTGAATCACCCACAACTGCTCACAACTTGAGTTGGGTCATCCACAAGCTCCACCGGATGATCACCAAGCTTTCAATCACCACCAAGCCGTCTAGGTGATGGCGATCACCAAGAGTAACAAGCATGAACTCTCACTTGACCACGACAAGCCTAATGAGAAGGGTGGATGCACACTTTGCTACTCTTGCTTTCACTAATGAGGGCTCTCTTTGGGATTCTCAAATCTCAATCACCTCACTAGGACCTTGCTCTTCTTAGCACTCTCAAAGGTGTTTCTCAGCTGTTGGAATGAGCAAAAGTACCCCCTAAAATAAAAGTTTGGGAGAGAAAGAGACAAACAAATACAAGTAATCTCTAGCAATCACAACAACAAGCACACATGATACAATGATTTATCCCGAGGTTCGGCAACCCCACAAAGGAGCTCCTACGTCCTTGTTGTTGAGGTGACCACCAAGGTCGGAGTCTCTTCCACCTCCTTGCCTCTCTCAAAGCGACAACAAAGATCACTTGAGCTTTCCACTAAGAAATCAAGGGTAATACAAATTTTCCAAGGCTCTTCCACAAGATGAAAGCTCTTGGCCAACGTCTAGCCGGCTAGGGGCAAGGCCCCAAGAGTAATAGACGCAAAATCAATTGGCTTGACGAAGAAATCAAGTGCTCAAGCTTTCCAAGGTGATGATCTCACTTAATCCACTCTCATTTCACTCAAAACCCTAAGGAAATTGAAGATTAGAGCAAAGAGGGAGGATAGGGGTGCTTTAGTTGCTTAGGAGCTGTTGAGCATGAAGTGGGTCAGCTATGAATGAGTCCGTAACGGTTAAAAGTGAGGAGAGGGGTATTTATACTCTTAGTAGAAATCTAACCGTTCAGATCTACGTCGGAAGTTCCGACACAGATCTTGGGACTTCCAACGTTAACAGAAAACACTGTTCACGAAGGGTCAGAAGTCCGCGTGAGTAGGTCAGTGTCGAAACTCCCGACGAACGTCGGGACATTCGACATGCGCAGTCAGCCAGAAGTCAATGTCGGAACCGACAAACGTCGGGACTTCCGATGGTCGGGACTTCCGACGTGCGCAGTTAGCCGGCCAGAAGAACCACAGGTGTCAGGACTTCCGACTTGGGTCGGGACTTCCGACTGTCGGGAGTTCCGACTTACGTCGGGACTTCCGACACCTACAGTCACAGAAAAATATTCTACGTGCTCGTAGAGTGCTAGAGTGTCTCTCTATTGATTTTATTTTTATGCTTGAGCGCTCTATCTTTCTCAGACCAACTAAGTTTGCATCCCTCTTAATAGTGCGGCGGATCATAAACTCAAAAGCAAAAATAAAACCTTTGGAGAGCGCTTTGAGTTTGTCCACCTTTACAACTTCAAAAATTGAGGATATCATTTCATGTTTATCAACTCTTTGATTCTTTCATGGTTCTAATAGCTGTGACATATCTCATTAAGATCATATTAGTCCCTAATTTGAATGTAATCAATACACTAAAACCCACATAGGGGGCAAATGCACTTTCACTACCACTTTCATTGTGTCGTCCGCACGTAGCGCCGCGTCGACTGCGCATCCGCCTGCAACCATCGTGATGCGTCGTTCGCCCGCCTGCTCTGTCTCGCCGCCACGCCCCATAGTGCGCCGCACCCACCCCAATCTTGCACCGTGCCGCGCCCCATTCCGTGCCGCGTGGGGTGTCCACTGCCACGATCCATCCACCTCGCTGGGCGTGGCCATGGCGTGCAAAAGCCACCACCACCCCGACGCCACCAGGAGGTCGCCGGCCATTGCTCTTGACACCCCCTTAAACCCAAGTTTACTCGCTACCGTAGTCCCCCACTAGGTAGGTCATGGCCACCGGCGATGCCGTATTTTAAGTGTTTCAGGCGTTTCGGACTTATATTTCAAGTGTTTTATCTGGATGTTGCAAAAGTAGAATTGAGATGTTTCATATGTTGCAATGACAATATACATATGTTTCTAGCCTATGTTCAAAGTGTTTCTGTTGTTTTATATGCATGTTTGAAGTGTTTTTATCTGGATGTTGCATATATTGCTATGGCTGCACACGCATGTTTTAAGTGCTTGTTTTCATGTGTTTCAGATGTTTTAGACTTATATTGCAAAAGTGGATCTAGATGTTGCATATGTTAATATGGTTATACACGCATGTTTTAAATGTTTCATCGGTTTCAGTTGTATGTTGTAAATGTTTCGTCTTTATGTTTCAAACGTAGATCGGGTGTCGCACATGTTGTAATTCGCGCAGTTGGTGCTGCTGTTGGAGCACCGCCGTGGTTCACGTCTTGCGGATCTTGAAGGCGAGCTGGTGCGGTGACGTGGTTCACGTCTTGAACGAGGGCATGGTTCTAGATTTGGCGTGCGATGCGGTAGGCGTCGGTACATCTTGTGAAGCTCCATCCAAACGGACACGGTCTCTAGAGCGGGATTTGGCGTGAGGCAAAGGAAGTTGCGTGCGTCCAACGCGGCCATGGGAGTTGTGTCCGGACGCCGCTAGTCGTCCCGTATATATTTTGGCCCCGTTCGTTTCGCTAAAAAAACAAGCTGAAATACTGTTTCGGCTAATTTGTTGCGAGAGAAAAATACTGTTCCAGCTGAAAAAAGAAGCTAAAAAAGACATATTATAAGAGAAGAGGATCTTTTTTAAACCATAGTTGTTGAAAGCCTGAAACCGCAATGGTCGACACGTAGTACTCGTGAGCTTGACACCTGAGTTGACCCATCCGCATCCGCAGCATCATCTCCGCTTCTGGCCCATTGCCGATTTGGCTGCCGGGCTTTTGCATCTCCTGCACACCGCAACAAAAGAGTGGAGTGGAGGGCCCCCCGCGCCATGAGCCGCCACCATCGCGGGCCACTCGGTCTCCGATTGGCAGAATGAAAGAGATCGCCATATAGCTGCCCGATTCCACTGGGGCCACTCGTTCGTCGTCCCCAGAGCCTCGGCGGCTCGGCCGCGCGGGCGAAATCTTTTGCTCGTCACCCCCCCCCCCCCCGCGCGCCGATGGCCCGCCTCCCGTCCCTCTCGTTTCGTTCCATCATCACCCGAAACGAAAGCCGAAATCTACGAGGCCCACCTAGCCGGTCTGTCCGACTGTCCGTCTCCGTAAATAGTGTAACACGGTCCAGTAACCCGAAGCGTGGGCATGGCTCCACCTTGGCTTTTTTACTAATCGCACACGCACTACCGATGGCCGACGAGGATTAGATATTCCAGTGACGACTAGTTCGCGGACACGTAGCCAAAAGCGAAGCGTTTAACGGAGGCGAGCTAGATATTTTCGCCACTGCTTTGCTGGATGCTGGGCCCCGATCCCGAACCGCTCAGGCTCAGCTTGCTTCTGCTTGCACGCGGGACGTCGGGACGGGCGGCCGAGATCGCGCGGCCGGCTCGCCCGAGCGCGCCCAGCCGTCGCTTTGCTTTTATTTTACTCCCCGCGGCGCCGTGCGGTTGGCTCTGGCTCATCCCCGTCCTCCTCCTCTTGCCGCTGCTTGCCCCAACCCCACTACTCGCTGAGGAAAGCGGAAAAAGCGAGGAAAATAACCTGCTCCAGCGAAGCACCGCAGGCCGCACCGCAGCAGAGAAGAGCGGACGCCATCGCCCGCCGCCGCCGCCCCTCAATAGATTAGGCGCGGATAATGGTGCGGGCCGGACCGCGACGGGCGGAGGAGGACCCCAGCCGCCGCCGCTGATAGTAGTATACCTGCTAACCAGCCATCTGCAGGCACGGTGGTAGCCCGCGAGGGGCCCCGGCCGGATTTATTGGGCGGTACCGGCGGCCGCGGGGATGGAGGAGGAGGCGTCTGCAGATCCACCGACCGCTCTGTCGTACTGCGCCTGTGTCTCTGGTTACGGCCGCTACTGAATCCGACGCTTCGGTTCCTGTCCTCAGTCCCCTTGGCGGAGGCGTGGTTGGTGTGCTTGGGGTTTGGGGATGGTGGGCGGCGGCGAGGGGGATCGCGTGGGCGGCGGCGGTGTGGGGGTTGGGGGAGGCCAGCAGTTCGTGGACCGGAGCAAGGTGAGGATTCTCCTCTGCGACGGCGACGCCACCAGCTCCCGGGAGGTGCTGCGGCTCCTCTGCAACTGCTCGTACCATGGTTAGTCTTAGTCAACCTTTGTAGCCCTCGCACTTGGTTTCTCTAACCGTCGGGATTTCCCGAATTAGGATTGTGTTTCCTTCTCACTGTGGGCTTAATCATTAGTAGTACCAATACGTTCGCTTCTAATGATAGGAATCTGTTGCGCGTCATGTGTGGTTACTGTTGTGCTGTTGGGATGGTGAACCCTTTTTTTTTTCAGTAACCTGCGCCAAGTCTCCGCGGCAGGTGATCAATATTCTCAACTACGAGGGAGGCGAGATCGACATCATCCTGGCTGAGGTTGATCTGCCGGTCTCCAAGTGCTTCAAGATGCTCAAGTACATCGCCAGGAACAAGGACCTGCGCCACATCCCCATCATCAGTAGGCTGCCTTTCTATCCTGTGCCTAGTGCCGATTACTGTGATGTGCTTGCTGTGACCATCCTCCTGTTTGATGGAACTGTGCAGTGATGTCCAACAGAGATGAGGTGTCTGTTGTTGTCAAGTGCTTGCGGCTTGGTGCGGCCGAGTACCTGGTGAAGCCGCTGCGCACGAATGAGCTGCTGAACCTTTGGACCCATGTGTGGCGGCGGAGACTGATGGTAAAGGGCATTATGCTGATTCACCTTAGCCTCTGCGTTGCTTTAAGCTGAGATGCTTGTAGGCGTTGCTGTACCTGCATGAATTATTCTTTAAATTGAGTACTGGTGTTGGCAGCTTGGTTTGCCCGAGAAAAACTTCTTCAATGACAACTTCGAGTTGGTGCTCTCAGAACCTAGTGATGCCAATACCAATAGCACCACCCTCCTCTCAGACGAGACAGACGATAGGCCTAAAGAAAACATGAATCAAGAAACAGGCACCTCAAATCAACTTGAATACGAGGTAATGAACCCAGTATTCGTTTGGAAGCTTGTTGCAGTCCAAATATTCTTTTTGCTGATTTAGTATAGTTCCATTTCTGCTCTTTGATGTTGCCACAAAGATCTGCCCTTTGGCTCTATATATGTTGTATGTTGATGAGATGCTAACAATATACTTGTATAAATGCCCTTCCATTTCTTGGCGTGTTTCAGTCTAATCCTTCTGTTGCTGAGCCCGACCAGAGAGACAAGATGGAGGGTGTACCAGGCTCTGTCCTAGATGCCAGCCAAGCATGTAAGATGTTTCAGTCGGACCTTTATTCTTGCCTGTAATTACCGGTCTTCCTTTTTTATTGTTAATCACTTCTATTTCTCCATCTGTTTTCTGATTAATTATTTAATTGCCAGCCTCTCCGGGAAGAATGTTTTCACGCCCTATAAAAACCAACCTGAGGATTGCTGAGTCGTCTGCATTTCTAGCATATGTTAAGACAAGCACCCCAACCACCAGCTCTTTTGATAGCGAATTACAAAGAGGTGGCAGCCGGTTAGATTCTTTGGATAACCAGGGTAATTGCTCTAGTGCAGCCGATAGAAGTGACACCGGTACTGATGTAAATATTCGGAATAAAGAAACTTTTGAGATGCCTGTGCAGTACCCTATGGTATGTTTTTCTTCCTCTAACATACATATGGAGCGAAGCAATGAAGGCCATAATGATACTTCAGGAACTCCACCTGTATACCATTTCCCATTTTATTATCCAGGGATGGTAGAGCACAACATGGCAGTTTCATCAGTGCAAAATTTTCAAGCAAACATAAACAATGCTCAAGCACACACACCACCAACGATGCTTCCTCAGTACAATGTTTATCCTCAATGCCATGGTTTACCTATGATATCATCATTTCAGTTTAATCCTGCTGGCATGAATATGCACTCAAGTTCAAGTCATTTACCGACGCAAAATGTGTGGTCATCGGCATCAAGCACACCAATGCCTGAGGAAACATGCAAGCCCTCTGAAAGGAGGGCTGCAGCACTTGCCAAATTCAGGCAAAAAAGGAAAGAGCGCTGCTTTGACAAGAAGGTGAGGTATGTGAACCGGAAGAAACTTGCTGAAACAAGGCCTAGGGTGCGAGGTCAATTTGTTAGACAAGCAAGCAATACAGATATCACCAGCACTGGAGATGATGTCTCTGAAGACGAAGATGACGATCCATCGTCCAGGGAGGTAGATATGGTTTCCTCTCCAGAGTAGTGGAGAGGTCCCTCTATGTGAAAAAAAGAGTGCATACATTCTTCTACTGGCACCAAGGCAATACACCCTTTTTGCTCACACACAGTATAACCTTTTTTGTCCCCAAACAATGTGGCTGTTACTCTGGTTACTTCAATGGAGAAATCATCTTTTGATTAAGTGTAGTTGTAGTTTTGCTAGTTATTGATGCACAGACCTGTCTAATCAATATGGTCTTATTGCAGTATAATCTTTGCTTTTTTGAGGTAAAACAGGGCTATTATTGTACATTCCGCCTGTCATAAGTTGGTTCTACATTTTAGTTTCCTATTCCATGTGTGTTTCCTACTACCTACACCCCGCGCACAATTTGCTCTGAGACGAAGGATCCATTTCTGGAGGAAGGGGAAACTAAGTTGATTAATACTAATCTGTTTATGTAATGTGCTCACTAGTTAGTTTATATGTATCACCCAAAAATTCAGCGGAGTTCAGTTCAGGCAAATTAGCCAATGTTAAGACTTAAGAGCTTTGCCTTTTAACCTTTAATTAAGATAGGAAAGAGTTCTAATTAAGACAAAACACAAGATACAATTCAGGCCGTAACGGTACACAAGTTTGGGCGGAGAACACAGCCACGGCTGAAACCTAGCCAGAACAAGCAACCTGGGAGAGGCACGGGCTACATGGATAACGGATAACCTGAACGTTCTTCTACATTGCTCCATGTCTTTCTTCACCTGCAACACCACTTGTGCCGATTGTGATTTACGCCCTGTTCGGCTGATAAGCCGGCTGATGTTGTTTTGTTGTAAGAGAAAAACACTGTACCATGACTGATAAATTTAAGTGAACAGGGTGTTATTCTCAAAGACCCTACGGTTGCGATCCTTCCAAATGTTCTAAAAAAAATACTATAAATCACTGTGTCATTGAATTTGCCTTGTTGGTCTTTATGAACTTGTTTAGCTACCTCTTCCCACCATGCACTAATAGTAGCAAAGTGCACTGGGCATACGAGCTGTCCAAAGCTATCCCCTCCTAAATTAGCACCCGGCTCCAAACTAATTTAGCAAAGGGGCAAAGCAAGCACAGGTGGCAAGGATAATAAGCGGGCCGGCAGCCAGACTAGTTACAGTCGGTTTGTATACTAAGGAGACTTGTAGGTTGGCTGCAAGGAATAAGTAGCAACAGTAAAAAGATGCATGGGATTGGGAGAGAGGATGGAAAAAACCCAGCTCGTTCGGATGGTCACCTAAACAGTGTTTTTTGGATTTTTTTTTAATGATTGAATTGTATTCTATGAGAGAGAATAAGCTGAAACAAGCTGGAACAATACCAGCTGAAACATCTTTTTCTCGCCGCTTGTGCCTGCAGCCAGGCTGTTAGCTAATAGCTCGCTTCCTTCTCTCTCCTTAGTTCTATCACCTCCGCATAGGATTTTGATGACATGGGGCCTGCTGAGTAGGACTTATTATACTTGCTCTAGTGCAAGTAACTTGATATTTGTGCCAATAGAGAACTAATTCAAGTCTCTTTGATATTGATGCACTTGTTAGAATTTAATGTCTAATGTACTGTGTAATGACATCTAATCATTTAACTATGTGAGAACTAGATGTCTACTATCTATGTCATTATGTCAGTCTAATTATCTATGTCTTATTGTACGAACCGTGTGCATGTCTCAAGTCATATATTAAAAATTTAGATGGAATTATAGTGTTTGTACGCATATTTAGGCAGGGCAAACCATTTAAACCGTCTAATTTACCGTCTACACCTACTAAACGCTAAATGAACTAATGAAGGGTGACTGCCCGTAGTGTTTAGCATTTAGGTAAACACACTGGTGCTACACACCTCGTGTCGTGTTGTAGCTAGACCTCATGCATCCGGATCCGGAGGGACATGAACTCAATTTGCACCGTGCTTGTGATGTTTCCACGAATGGTTCTCATGCAAGCATTGTTCATCGGCCTTGCTCCATCATTTTTTTTTCTTTTTGCTAGTTCTAATACATGCAACGCGAGATTCTTAGGTGCCTCCCCATCAAGCCAATTGCAGTGCCAAAAGAGTGTCTTCTTCCCGTTTCCAATATTGATTGTGGTGAAGGCGTTGAAGAGCAAAACGTCCACCGAGTTAGAGACCTCGCTCCATGCCCATGGCTTGGTGTCATCAGACCTCGCTCCTTGCCTATGGCTTGGAGTCATCAGTCCAGTCTTGCCACAATCAGTGTAGTCATGTATGCGCAATGCTCTTCCAAATTTATAAATGTCACGCGCATGTAATTTGTGCATTTCTTTATATACCATTAGGCCCTGTTCGGCTCGCTAAAATTTGATTTATGCTGATTTGTTGTGAGTTATGTTTCTGCTTATGTCAATTTATTGGGAGAGAAAAACAATATTTCTTGGCTAAAAAGTCTTGTGCAAATTGGGTAAACAAGATTGATCGTTGAGCTATGAGATGCGAGTTTTCACATCGTTTTGTTCATGCTCCAGTTTGTTTCAGAAGATAGAAGTTGAATTTCAAAGTTTGATATATGTAGTAAAAAAATGGTTGAGGTTTCATCTTTTCCAACATCGGCCAAAAACCAGTTTTCATCAACCAGCTAGCACACGTGAATTGGCCAACTGGGAACCGTTCAAAGGCTCTTATATTACACACCAGTGGGCTTGCTGGTAGAGATGAAAACAGGCGGAAACCTTAATCATTTCCGTTGCCCTATCTTATCACAGGAAACACGAACATGATGAATCAGCAGTAACTAAGCATGTCAACAGTCAAGATCAAAAGAGGACGGCAAGACGATGTTTTGGCCCACGCACCAAGTACATATTAAGGACACGACCTGTCAATCACATAGCATTACATATAGAGCCTGAATGTGCTGGAGTGATGCCATAGTACTGCCTAGCAGTGTTTGATTTATGTTCTTAATACCCATTCAACATTCCAACCAACAAGCCGTGACACGAACTGAACATGCATGGTTGGACAGTTGAAGCTTCAGTACTTCGGTGCTGGCTGCTGAGTTGGCAGAAGTCCAAATCTCTTCTTCAATAGGAACCGCTGGCGAGAGTACTTGTCATCTGGTGAGAAGCGAGCTGCACCACAAGGAAATATTTTAGTAAATCATGATGCGAGGTCCATGGGCACCCAAATTATTAAACAATCAAAACCACAAATGCAACCATAAAAAAGAATGAATTCCACATGTTTCAGTTCTGCAGGTTACATCTTTGTTTGGTCCTACACATCCACAATACAAGTGTTCGCCTCAGGTAAAGTACGATAGCTTCTATCTCTCTACAGTCTATTTACATCTAGTCCAATGATACAACAGAATGATGCTTTAACCTGGCAGACAGTGCTCATGGTAAAGCCATTCATGATTGACTAGAACTCTAGATTATGCGAATGCCTAGTGAGTTCATATTGATCATATAAAGCTCGGGGAATTGTCACTGGAAAAGAAAGAATGATCTGTAGCTTTGATAGGTACCGGTACTCTTAACTCCATTCTTAAAAGTTGCGCAAGCAATTTTTTATTTGTCTGCTCAAAATATCCAGAATCTAAATGCAAAAGAAATCGAAGATACAACATACTATTGGATGAATGACACAAATCGGTCAGGGGGTCTAGAAACATGCCAACTGCTCATAATTAGACAACCATGACTCTGCATCCTTATAGCCAACAAAAGAAAACTATCCAACTATCATATCTTGACAGGCAAGTTATAACAGAAGCAGCAAAGGTAACTCCAGTGAACAAAGGCAGTGTACCTGGGTGAGCAGACTGCGTCGGCACCCCAAGAGGCGACTCCTTCTGCAAAGCAAGAACAAAGATACCCAAATTAGCAGAGGCTAACAAGAAACACCCAAAGTCATCAGCCATTCAGAGAAACTTAAGCGCAAGCTCATACACAAACCTTGGTGGTGTAGACCTTGTCCCCCTTCTCGTTGATGTAGTACTGGAGATACATCTTGAATCAGTGCGCAGGGATGATACCTGATAAATTCAATGAGAATAAAGAGGAATTACTCCCAATAATAATAAAAATTGCAGCAAACAAAACCAGGACAGCCAGCGGAGGGGGTACTGAAGTTTTTTTATCCAGTCTGATACTAGTATTAAGATGCAATGACATACAAAAAAAAAAACAGAACAAACACATAATGCTTAGTGCTTACACAAGGATGCAAAACAAAGATGAATCCTGTCGCTGGACATGGACATGGTCATGAACAGCGAGAGGTCTGAGAAAGAAAGAAGCATCAACCACCAAACCAGATCAGAACAGGCACCTTTGCACGAAAGCCTTGTGTTTTCTATATACATCCTAGATCCTACCTACAAAGAAATTTCTTTAATATCCCCGAATTGCTACTCTCTTATTGCTTGGTCCATGAACACCCTACATCTCACCATAGAAACTTCCATCAATTTTCCAATCATTAACAGAGCCCCTCAAATCTCACTGACACAATCACCCTTGCTTAAAACAAGGACTCCAGTTGTGAACCTTACTTGCTTTCAATATAAGCAGAGGCAAAAGAATAGTACGCAACAACGGGGCCGCCGCGAGCGCCAGAGCCGCCCAGAGGCCAGCTGCTGCCAGCGTGCAACGCCGTGAAGAGGCAAAGCAACGGCACAAAACTCCCCAATAGGATCCACCGATCCATGGACAGAGGCGCAAACCCCATCGAACCCCACCTCACAAGCCCACTCCTAAGATGTCTTCGCCTCACCACGCTCAAATCAACTGTACCAGGGACAAAGGATAACTGAGAGACTTACCAGAGCTTGGAAGACGGATCAGCAGTTCAGCTTCAGCAAGATACTGGCGGCGTCTAGGGTTTACGAAGGAGACCCGAGACCAGGTGAGGGTATAAGAGGCTACGGATGAAATCCTCTACCGTCGTCGCGACTCGCGAGCATGGGCGTCGCTCTGCAGTCTGCACTCCGCACATAGGATGCAAGCGGCGCGGGCCTGTCCGCAAGCCCACCAGGG